TTGTGGGGTGAACTACGGGAGGCCTATGTTCAGCAGTGGACGAGTATGGGCTGAATGATGATGATGACCAGCAACAACGGTATAAGAGTGGCACAGTTGGCAATGACAAACAAACTAAGAGTTGTTCGTACGTGTTTCCCTCATAAAAATATTCATAAAGGAACTTGGATGATACCTGGTACTAATTATAAAATTTAAAATTAAATTAAATTAAATTTAATAATAAAATTTATCAAATTGATCACATATTAATATCTAAGCGGTGGGCAACCTCCGTAACGGATGTTAGAACTTATAGAGGCGCAAATTGCAATTCGGACCATTTCTTGGTTATATCGAAGATAAAACAAAGAATATCAATGATAAGACAAGATAAAGGCGCCAAACAAATAAAATGGAACACATGTATGTTTAAAAATCCTAAAAAGAAGAATGAGTACCAGCAGAAAATAAAACTAATATTAACTGAAAGAGGAGAACAAAACAACATTGAAGAAGAATGGAATGTCATCCAAACGACAATTACAAATATGGCAAAGGAAACATTAGGTGAAACCTCAAGCAAAAGAAACGAGGAATGATTTGACCAAGATTGCGAACAAGTAATAAATAGCAAAAATATAGCAAGCCAGAAATGTCCCACCCAAGGATACATGATAAGATCAACAGTTTGCAAGGAAAAAAATGGGGCAATTATCAGCGAGAAAGAGGAGATAATGAAAAGGTGGAAGGAGCATTTTCAAGAGCTATTAAACCCAGAAAAAGAACAATACTAAGATGAAGAAATAATTCACCATACAGCAGAACAACTAGTTGAGCAACCAACATTGGAAAAAACGATAAACGTCATAAAACATCTAAAAAATAACAAAGCACCCGGCATAGATGGAATAACTGCAGAACTGATAAAGAATGGTGGCATGCGCTATGGAGGCGTATCCATAAACTAATCGACCGCATATGGACACTAGAAGTCATCCCAGAAGATTGGAAAGTAGGAATCATACTTCCTATATACAAAGGGGGAGACAAACGACTCTGCAAAAATTATAGGGGCATAACAGTTTTAAATGTCGTCTACAACATGTTATCAGGAATTATATACAGCTGCCTGGAATCGTTTTCAGAGGAGATGAATACCAATGGGGCTTCAGACCAAAGAGGTCAGCTATAGACTAAATACATTAAGAGGTATACATGAAAAATATGTTGAATATAACATACCTATTTACAATTATTGTAAAATAAGCACAAACGTAAGTCAAAAAGAGGAAAACTGAGAAATCCAGCAATGAACAAAAATATTCAAAAGATAGGAAATACAACATTTTGGGGAATATCACATTATGGAGGATACATTTAATTTTGGTTCATAAATACTAGATACGCCTCTGATTTTGCATCGAATTAAAAGATGTAGATCAAGTTTCTGAAGTAACTTGTAGTACTGTCCAGTATAAAGTTCAATAATCTTGTCTTTCCAATATAAATATCTTGATTTGTCGTAAATGTCAGAGTTCCAGGGAATAGTATACAGTTACATATTTATGGGAACCGTAAATGTTTTAGTGCAGAATGAAATTTCAGTGTTACTTCAGTTTTATTGCTTTTCCAAAAAATTACAAAAAGTAAACCTAGGAAGTGGAAGGGAGAAGTATATTGATATATCTATATACAATAATGAGAGATATGGAAAAATATCTTTTTCTACTATTTTCTTTCTACAATTTCTTTATATCGTTGGATTTTAACAGAGATATGAACAGTTATTACATCTCTCGGTATTATATTTCTTTGTTTATTTAAATCTAGGTGTCTTAACAATTAATGTTCATTGACAATATTAATCAGAACAAAATAATTAAAGTTTTACAAGTATTAACTATTTTATGTATTATTTTATGTATTAACAGTACCTTTTAGGTACTGTTAATACATACAAAATGTTTAAATATCTTATATCAAATTATATGAGTTACAGTCTCTCAAAAAACTAATTAAAGAGTTCGTTAAACCAGGTGAAATAAGTATATCACTAAGGTACCACTAATATAATGC